CTCCGTGTGCCTATGCAAAGGGGATGAGGTCGGGATTCTGTTGGCACATTTTTTAAGGTCAACAGATTGGCACCATTTGTGGGAATCATGACACTAACATGTTATACCTCGTACAAAAGGTCAACAAATTGCTCCGTCTATGAGCGCAATTTTGTTGCCTTCATATTTGTGAAGATTTCAATTCATGAGTATGAAAGTGTTTAGTACGTCGGATTTAATATGAATAAGATTAAATTAAACCTTTATTTGATAAAGCTTTTTGAGATTATAAGTTGGTAATCCCATAAAAAGTTAATAAAAATTGTGAATTCAATGACATATGTAGTTAAAAATACTCGACCAACTTATAATTTCAAAGGCTAAATTAGGTCCATTACCATAAAAAATTGACTAAATTGATTAATACCCTAATAATTAATTAAGTAAATTAACAACGTATTAAATACGTTATAAAAATCCCCAAACCACTCCATCCCAGTCCCCAGATTCCCAGGCCACTTCATCTTCTTCCCACCATCAACAATACCCAATTAAACCAAAATCAAAACCCAGAAAATCCAATCAAATTCAGATTTAACCATGGAAATTTATATCAATGCATTTCCATGGGTGTTTGAGAACATTCGAACTATCCCTTTGTTTGAGAAGCTGATAACTCTAATCTTCTTTCTCGCGGAACAAAAGCAAAACAAGGAGTGTGTGGACACCCAAAGTGATAGATGAAGGGAAATCCAAGGTGCTTAGTTTCGAGACTACTGTGATGATACTGTCAAGAGTTTTTTCCTCGACTTGTATTGTAGTAGAAACCTCCTTTGCCTGACTGCCTGGCCTTTTAAGGAGTGGCATTGCCTTGGGCGAGCAATCGTTAGCTCTGAAGTGGTTCCTATCTTGAAAATATATTTTATGGCTGAGGAAATATCAGATTCTGATTTGGGTGTAAAACTAATGATGGCATGAACTGGTATATATTCCCAAAATCCATTGCTGCATGTTCATTCTTTTCAAAGGTTTAAGTGCCCCTTAAGCCCATTTGCAAATGATGAATGTAAGATTGGGATCAGAAGGTTATTTCTTCTGATTTTGATATTCGTATGTGATGTTATGCTTTTTAGAAATTTTCACAGCTTGAAAGTTGTAAATAAAAGAAATAGAAGGAAATTTAGTGAGGAAATTTTGGCCCTATTAGTAAAAGTTGAAAAGCAATGTTGGTATAAATGATTATTTCTTTCCTCCACCTTCTTGAACTTAATAATACTTGAAATTTGCTCTTTTAAGTTTTTAGTCATTCTATAGTTGACATAACAAATTTGTAAATTGTTGTTGTAAGCATTACTTGATCTTGTTTGTGTGCTTAAATCGTATGAGGAACTATAGAAATAAATGATGATGAATGCAATTCTGTCTGCCTCTATAATAAAGAAAATGAAAGTGATGTTAGTGTGAAGCTTGACCGAGGTGAGGAAACAGGATATTGGAAGTGAAGAATTGAGTTTGTGCTAGGGGGCAGAGTGAAGACTAAACTATTCTGTTATGTATTAGGTTGGTTGATTGTATTGGGTTTGGGATCATGATACCTTAAACACATGTTGTTATGTAGGGCTGTTATGTAGTTCTTGTGTATGGCTTTGGGTCTATTCAAAAATCAGGGCCATGAAATACACACATTTTTACTTAATTTATAAGTAAGCTGATGCACTTATTCATGCTTCTTGATCAGAAGGTTCTTTACATTTTATATTCCTGGATGAATCAAGTTAATAGAAGTAAAATATATAATTACAAAGAGACAATATGCAAAAGAAATTAAACTATCTACTGGATCTATATATTATAATGTTTTGATTTATTTGTCACTTTTTTTGAATTTTTGTCTTCCAAAGTCAAGTTAATATTTTAGTTAATAGAAGTAAAATATAATTGCAAAAAGACAACACATAAAAGAAGTTGTGTAACTTTTTTAAAATTTCCATGACTTTTTTGAATTTTTGTTACTTTTTTAATGTTTGTCACATTCTTGATTTCTATCTCTTTTTTAAATTCGTCACTTCTTTTTTAGTGTTTATTACTTTTTTGTGCATTTCACTTTTAAAATTTGTCACTTTTTTGAAATTTTGTCACTTTTTTTTTTAGTATTTGTCACTTTTTTTTAGTGTTAGTTGCTTCTTCTTTTTTTCAGTTGCCTTCTTGAAATTTTTATCACATTTTTAGTGGCAAACATCATTTTGTAATAAAAGAGAAATTGTATGTCATTTTTTTTAATAAAAAAGTGACAGTAAACTTTTAAAAGTGGCACTATGTCACTTTTTTGGATTGTCACTTTTTTTGAGTTTTTTGTCACCTTTTAAGTTTTTGTCACGTTTTTTTAATATTTGTCACTTTTTGAAGATAAAAAAAGAGACATAATATGATATATTTTCCTAACATAATTAGCGTGTGGACAATGCACATGTTGATTAAGAACCGCCACTATGTTCACGTGAATTGTCCTGAATATGCTGATTATGTTGAGAACGTGATTAATAATGCTGCATAAATGGATGGTTCTATTTTGGTGTTTGTTATTTTTTTTTTTTTAAGTTTGTGTCACTTTTTTTGAGTTTGTATAACTTTTTTAGTGTTCATGTCACTTTTCTTTTTCTTTTTTTTTTTTTTATTTTTGTCACTTTTTTTGAGTTTGTGAAAA